CACTAGTGATAATTATAAGTCAATTTGCTGACCGATTTTGTTAATAGTCTCATTAATTTTATCAATCATATTACGTGATTGTCAAGTCATGACAATGCTTTATGACGATATCCTGAAACTATTAAATTTAACTAGTTATAGTGTTGATTGAGGATTAGTCAGTAGAAAAAAAAAGGTATTGTTGCTTTAGGTGATTCGAAATTATCAGAAATTTATAACGTTAAAGAATCCGAGACGCCTAATTTAACTATAAATTTTAATTCAGAAAGATTAGTTTAGTGTTAATTCTAGTAGGCTACGGAGTTTTGATTTTAAACGTTTGTTTAGCTAACAGCTACCTGAGGATTTAGTTATTTTACTAGTGCAGTTGATAGTACCTAAATTTTTAATCTTATTATCTAAACTATGTTCGCATTTTAGGCTGCTAATATGATAAACCAATCCATAAACCCAAATACGATTAGCAACAACAACTATGATGGGTTTATTGATAAATGCTAAAGGCGACTCAGATGATTCCTAAATTTAGAAGACATGAAGATATAGTGTAACGTATGTGTGGGCCAGGTTAACATGCAGGTTGTTGACGTATATGACGATTTAAAAATAATGAACATGACCAGAAAATAGTTTTAAAGTTTAGACTGCTTGTGAAACTTCAGGCAGGAATATGATGCGTTATAAACATTCCATAAGAAGTTACTGCATTTAGCCTAGGGACACTTACAAATATATGGCAAAAGGAACCGGAAAACATATACATGTTAAGTAAAAAAAATCATCCAGTAAAATAGTTGAACTCGCCTGGATTATTTTTGAAAAAATTAGATTATTCAGTGGACGACATATATAACGCTATTCGTGAGTAGTATTGATCCAAAAGCATCCAGAATAAAACATGCAGTATGGCAATTAATTCCAGGGTGCTTGATGCTGTTGAGGTTTTTGACACTCGCTCGGATCAGAACAATCGAATGAATCCAGATAATTGTATGGTTGTCATTGAACGAACCATCTAAAATGAACTTATGATTGCAGAAAACTTATAGCTGAAACTCACCGTATGTTTTTGGAGAAGTGTCATCCTCGTTGTTTGGCAATGGAACTCGAGAATATGAAATTAGGCAGGCAGTGGTCGGAAGAAAAGATATTACAGGATAGTGCATCGTTTAAAACAGGATGAGGTGTTAAGTGAAGGAACACTGAGAATTAGATCCAGATAACTATTTACTCCTTGATCGCATTGTTAGTCAATGTATATTTACGCTATTTACAGGTCATATTTGCTAGAGCTTGATGTTTAAACAAGACTATGTCGCTGAAGCATGTAAATGCTATCACAGCTTGTTAAAAAATCATCAAAGCTAATTAGTTAATATAGACGACCAGTTTTTATTATCGATTGAGCTAGTTTGTCATGAGGACTAATCAATATAACATTACAGTGATGCATGTGAGCATTAATCAGAGGACTATTAGAATACAGTGTTAACATAAATATAAAATCGATCGAGAAAGTTGAAGTGGAAATAAGGATTAATAATAATAGGTTGCGTTTTTCTAGTCGGGCTTACCAATGTAGAATTATGGTCTACTATGATATTAGTACTGCTCTAATAATAGACCTAATCCTAAACTTGTCGATTTGCCATGATATAACTGCCTAATCTATAAGATCTTACGTGGAAGTCACACCATCGACTACACCAACTCACTGTATCGTATCAATTACCAATACATGATGAGGAAGAACGTTAGGCTGGAGAAAGAACAATATATTTAATATGAATAGAGACCACGCCTGCATGGCCGAGCCATGCCACTCGATCAACCCCAGTCCATTCTATTCATTGTTCGCGCCTTCTCCATTGTTAGGTATTTCTCGGCGTTAAATATTGAATATTTATTTTCTGAGTAGTCTCGTGTTCACAGCTTTGTGGATTGTGTGGCTATTGTCCAATGCCACTACAAGAACGAGTTATTTCAGTTTTAATGAGTTGAATACGAAGAAATCTTGGGAAGTTTTCATAAATTCTGTAAAGAACCTTCAAATCAGCATAATTAATCAGCGTATTGATTAGAGATGGTCAATATTCCGGTATTGATCTTAAATATTTCATGATTCTATGCTTAGTGCTGCTATATTGTAATATGTGGGTGATTGTTGATGAATATCAACATGATATGAGGATTCACACGTTTCTCCATTACTATGTTAGTATGTGTTTGTGGTCTTAGTTAGTATTAGTTTTCAGGTCTACCATTTCGGTTATTTGTAACTTGAAACCATAAATAATGGATAAATTGCAAATCGATTACAGGCATGTATATAAACGAATCACACACATTAAAGCTTTAAATTTGGTTGATGTAGTTCTTAGGTCGAAATATATTGAGATATACGATATGAACCATTAAGATTAGATTGACTAACATCGTAGAAGTAACGGGAATAATGTGACTGTTTAACTGACGTTGTGTTGTGTCTGGTTTATAACATTTGGTGACTAGATAACCCGGCTCACCCTTATCTGGTAGTCACTTACACTGACTCTGTAGTAGATCTAATAATAATCCCATATTATTTGCAGAACGAATTCGGGAAACAAAATGTTGTGTTTACGTTGCCGCATACGACAAGCTATATCGTCAGTTGATGAGTTTGTTGTGGTATGCGTTCTTAAACGCGCGATCTTTGGAGGTGAACATATAATCACCAATATGAGTTACATTCAACACGTAACACTAAGAGAAGTTCAACTATGGTGGACGCGGGAAAACTTGATCGGCACCGCATGACTCAGCCTTGCAGGTGTGGTCATCTATTTAACTAATCCCTAATCACATTATGATATGTTATTCTATCCGCAGCTCAAATGTGTTCTCCAGAAGTGTCAGACGTCATATTGCTGTTTGTCGCGATACAACGAATTAGTGTGGACTATGATGTGACTTCCACATAAGGTCTTATAGATTAGGTAGTCATATCATGGCATATTTACAATTTTGTGATTAGGTCTATTATTATAGTAGCAAATATAAATATACTAATATTGAAATAGACCATGAATCTACAAGCCCTCATAATGATCAAGCTGTGCATGCTTTATTTGGAGACTATCTCTACTCGATTCCTAGCCTTTGCAGTTATATAAAGGGTTACAACCGAAAACTCCAGGGATCAGAGAGCTTATAGCAATTAGCATCTTATAAACCTTTTTGATTTATTCTGGATTTCGAACATATTAATTATCCTGATCTTTTCAGTCATTCTGTCATTCACACATTGACTCGAGAATTTGTGTCATGGTGGGTTTGAGCTAAGTACTCCTCATATTTCTTTCACGCTCACCTATCATTCATCGAGTTGGCTATTTCTGTCACTTTAGGTCACATGCAATTTCACATCACTTCTCATTTGTCTGAATGATCGAATACCTATTATGCACGTTCCCCAAGTAGTTTCGTGTTCGTATTTTTGAAATCTACGTTATTATTGACGGAATTTCCCCAAACACTACAAGCGAAGTCAAATGTGACATATTTCATCAAGTTGCTACAAAGTCTATAACAAACAATAAATGCTAATAAATGATATGCACTCAAGCATGATAGCTTTCTGTGAAACTTGGATTATAAAGATATAATCGATAAAGAACATTCCCTTGATAACTGCCAACTGTTTCATAGTGACAGATCTGATACTTCGAGTTGTGAAGTCGTGGTCTGCATCCACCTCCCTTCGAGCTCAGGAAATTTCTCCCATCAGGATAAGTCACCTAATGTCTTATGGTGTAGTATGGAGGGGACTTGCTGTTGAATGTTACAGATCCTTCCTTCCTAAAAAGCAATACTCAACAAATCAGCTTGTCCTAATATGTAACTTAGTGTACTTGCAGAGGTCCAAAGGAAAAGCCTCTAGTTTGTGGGGATGGTTAACGTAAATTTATTCTGTGATCAGTTTTTGTTATTACTCGCATTTACAGAAAGGAAACTTTGGATTGGCTAGTACTATTACAAGCTTTCGTAGGTTATTCTAACTTCTGGATAAGCCAATTCATTCATACTTCCCGAGCCATATTTTGACCATTTCATTTCTTCGCTTGTTAACCCCGACTGTTTTGATAGGATCGTATGTGTGTTGATTGCCTTCCCTAATCGTTATTTGTCTGTAACTTACTTTTGGTCTGAATGTAAATAATGAGTAACGATGAACCAAATTGAGTTGGCTCAATTGCCTTTTCCGTTAAGCGTCACTTCGTTTCGTTTTGCCCCGCTTCCTTCTCTGAGTTTCCCTGATTGTCCGCTCAGGTCGATGGGTGTATAAAATATATGAATTCGAAATCCATTATTGTATTTGACTTATTCACTTCCGTTATTCCTTAACGCTATTCAAGTCTGTAGTTGTATTCGAAGGTTGAAGTCATGTATACTTCGATAACAGTCATCATACGATCTAACTGGAGTCAGACTATGGGTCTGAACCAGATATCCACTAGCCACTCATTGGAGGTTAAGGATTTCAATTGTTGAAATCACGAGTCAATTGAAGCTAGACCACCGTGGAAAACCTGGAAGCACTGGACGGCCGTATCGTCCCAATATGGTACTCCTCAGTAGTGCGCATCCACGATCCCGCCCGCACAGGGTTAGAACCCAGGACCTATCAGTTTCGCGCGCGAGCGCTTAACCACTAGACCACTGAGCCGGCATCCAACTGTGTTAATGTCTAACTTCAACCAATCCAAGAAGTTGCTCTACCGTACACCATTTCTTCAGTGAGTTGATATCTCTTAATAGACCTGGTTGAACTCCACTGGTAACGACTTCTCACTAGAACTCCAGGAAATGCCTTTTGAAGTCAGTCAAAGAGTTATTAGTCTTGAACCATTTTGTTAACAAAAAACTTTTTTGATGCCGAGACTCATATAAAAAAAACAAATGGTCTGCTGATGTTGCCAGGTAAAGTTTGAGGTTTGAACGATGATTATTGAAACGTTAGTTGCGCGTCTGACAGATATGGCGGTACTTCGTTAGCTTTGTTTCACCTGTAGAGTTTACTTAACGAGTGAGTATTAAGACTAATCCTTCTCGTTGTGAATTATTTAAAGTTCGTGACTTTTAAGTTACATAACCTCCACCTCTATAATTTGGGTCACTCAATGAAACACCATTCTTCAGACTTTAAACGAACAGTTCTTGGAAATATGGGCTCCGAGTATGTAGAAAACACTAAATGGAAAAGTGCGGACGAGTATTTCAATCTTTGATGTTATTCAAACAAAAAAATCATTTAGATCAATAGAGGTATTAGGATACTGCCATTTCCCAATGTAAACCTGTAAATACGTATGCTAGTGTTTTCAATATCTTTGCTACGAGCTTATATAAATCGGTTGATTTGGTATGGATCAGTTCCTTTTCCCTTTATTCAGATTGAGAGGCTTACCATGTTGTAACGTCTAGTGTATTAAAAGTATCCACTCTTATTTCAGACCGACTTTCTACATTGTTAGATGCTTCATTGTTCTTAGACCGTTTCCCCAAAGAATTATTCTGCCTATATTTTAGGGAGACTGAGCATATACATATATTTAAAACAGTTTGAGAGACTATCTATAACTCGATAGTTGGTCTGAATATTGAAGTGTTTTAAAGGAGTGTAAACTGAGTTAAGTTAGCGTTTTTTCTGAAGAACTTCGGAAAATTCACATAGATCATTTCTGTCCGTAGGGGATTTTGAAATTTTGCCTTTTATAAAGAGTGGAAAGTATGACTTCAGTTCGTCTGACCTACTATGTAGCGTATCTAAAGTTTTTTTGGTCCGTCCCAATGTTTGTGTTATGATTGGATTTAAGTTTCAGTTTCAGTTTGGAAAGGACAGAAGGCTTGATGGTCTGTTAGTCCTGGCGATGGTGGTCTCTCAGTTGGTCCAACTTTCTTTTGAAAGAGTCGACGGATGGGGCCTCAGCCACGTGCTGATGTAATGAATTCTACTCGTTGATGATTCGATGGGAAAGTCGATAGTCAACTGACAAGTAATTTGTTCTGGACTTGTGAACTTCTTTGGAATGTCCTCGTAAATTCTCTGTTTTAAAAGACAAGAAAAATGAGAGCATATCAGGTGCAGATTTATCACTAAGCAATTTGAAAATTGTAATCAAGTCGCCTCTAGTTCTACGATATGACAACGGGAATAGGTTTAGCTTGGCCAGTCGAGCATCATACGGAAGCTTCGCTATTCCGGGAATCAGCTTAGTTGCTGTTCTCTGAACCTTTCCCAAAAGCTCACTGTCTTTTTTTAAGCAGGGGCTAACAGCTTGTATGCAGTACTCAAGTTTAGGACGTACGAACACTGTATACAAAGTCAAAAAAGTTTTAGCGTCGACATGATTAAAAGCCCAACGTATCGACTATAAGGTTCTAAAACCTTTGGTGGCCATTGCACGACAGTGTGCAGTAGTCTTTAAGTCTTGACTAACGGTAAATCCTAAGTCACTATGTGTCTGGACAACAGGTAGCTCAGTGTTATTCATCGTGTATGTATCTGTACCTTGATGGCCGATTTGCATCACAACACACTTGGAAGTATTTATCGGCAACTGCCAGGTTTGAGACCATTCAGATAATTTCTTCAGATCATTTTGGAGTTCTAAACTATCACCCTTACATCGTATCGTTCTACATATCTTGACGTCGTCAGGATATAGCAAGACCGATGATGATAGATGAGGAAGGTCATTTACATACAAGAGGAACAGCACTGGCCCCAAAATTGTACCCTGGGGCACTCCACTAAGCACAGTTTCCCAGCAAGATAACTTTGAGTTCACCCGTACTCTTTGTTGGTGCCCAACTGGGAAGTCTTTTATCCACATCAATAGATTGCCTCCGATTCCGACATTTCTTAGCTTATATAACAGCCGGTTGTGCGGAACTTTGTCAAAAGCTTTTCTGAAATCAATGTAGACTACGTCTATAGGTAACTTTTGGCCCTTAAGAGCGCACCAGCTTTCACGAGCGACTAATAAGTTAGTGAGACAAGAATGACCTATTCTGAAAGTGTGCTGCTCCTCCAAAAGGATCTGGTTTTCATCGAGGTATTTAAACAGCTCTTTCCGAATAATCTTTCCTATTTTATTATTTATTTATTTTAACACATAGATATTGGTACAACGAGGCACCAAATACATATGCGCCACACAAATCTCATTTGATATGTGTGAGGGCTGTGATACTGCCCGGGTGCCCAAACCGAAGCAGGTAGTTTTCTTGGGAGGCCACACCCAGAGCCTTCGACCTGAAGGTCTGATCCACAAGGCAGTGGAGCATCGTAAGGAGACGCAGTCCCATGGTACCCGGTGACCAATAATTGGTTCATACACCATTTGTTCTTTCAGGTACTGGAGCCCATGTGCACCATTGGCTTGGAATCAGGGTTTTCCAACTCCTCTAGGTGGATCCTCCGTATACACCAACCCGAGTAAAGCGTCGGACATTCGCTTTTCGTCCTCTCGATTTCGTAAACAACATCCCCGCTACGAGAAGGCAGCGAGTAGGACTTCCCTGGCAGAGGCTGTATACGCGTGGCCATGTGAGAGCATTTCGAGAGGGAGAGAGGACTCTCCCCACTCGGCCGTACCAAGGCATTTGGGTTAGCGGGTCGGTGATTCTCAGGTTTATGTTTCGTACCTGTTTTGAAGACGGGACTATGGCGTTCTTCCGATCTTTTGGTAGACGACTCTGCGTTACGTATAGATTAAAGCATGTACTTAAAGGGTTCGCAATGAAGTTAGATAATTCCTTTAGTAGCCTAGGATGCAATTCATCGGGCCCCGTGGATTTACCTATGTCAAGCTTATTTAGCAGACCAAAGACATCGAGTTCTTTAATGGTCACGCTATTCAGTGTATGTGTGTGGGGATTTGTATGCGCTGACGGGAAGGGTGCTTCTATGGCACATACATTGCTAAAGTAGTTTGAGAACACTTGAGCCTTAGCAAAATCGCCCTCCACTAATGATGCGGCAGTTCTGTCTCCCCACAGTGCAGGAATATTTCCTCTTCTTTATATTCTTTGGTTTATATAGGAATACAAGCGTTTAGGACATTCAATGGATTCCTTACCAATTTTTCCTCCGTACAACTTTCTAGACTTACGAAGGGTCGAGGCAAAAGTATTCAGAGCTTTTCGATACTGAGGTTTTATCTCATCAGTCCCCAGTAACCTAAATATATCCCAAATTTTTCTTCTCTTACGGAGAAGGATGCGGACCTCCCTACTGAACCATGGTGGATAGTTTCTCGGCCCCCTTGGTATAGTCAAATGGATGTGAGGTGCGGTAACTTTTAAGTATAAATTTCGAAATGCGTCCCAAGCCGTTTCAATTGAGGATTGGGTCTATGGTCCAATCTACTAACGATCCATACGTTAGGTCTGAATTGAGCTAACTCATGCTCGTGATTGACAGTTATATGGAAGTCAAAAGTTAAAACTACGTGATCACTCAGAGACAAAAATGATCTATGACCAAAAAAAGTGGAAAACTGTAGATTGTTAGAACCAAAAGTACTAACAGATACAATAGAAAACAAAGTACTCAAAAGTACCGACGACAAACTACTTTAGAAACAGAAACGATACTCTAATCGAATACTTTAACTGAAATAAATGCAATTAAAGTGAAAACAGCAGTCTTGGTACGTAATAAACGATCAAAACAGTAGAATTTACTCAGCGAGGAAAAATACCACTGTCCTTTTAAATAGCGCGCGCGATCCAAGTAAGTATTTCAGGGGATACTCAATTGTGTTTGGGATATTTTGGGTCGTTGTTAGATCATCTCCAAGGTTCCTATACTTTGAAGGGTACCGATTCGGTGTTTTCAGACTTTCGTTGTGGGATTTGGAGTTAAGATCACGAATTGATTTCGCAGCTAGTCTTTATATATGCTACAAAGTATTCTTATACTTTTTGAATAAGGGATGAACCACTTTTTAATACTCCAAATGGGTCCTGATAGAGCTATTGAAAATCGAATCAAGAATCCTATCATCAAAATGTTTAAAATTCTCTTTGTAGTTACTAGTGCAAGGTTGATTCCAAAGGCACTTTTATCACAGAATATGATTTTAAATAATAGGGAACCAGGTATACCTAAATCATTTTTGGCTAAAAAACATGTGATAGAAAATTATTTAGGTTGTGTGCGTAGATTGCACCATGTTGTTGAAGATTAGCCCATTGTTTCCCGCCTAACTCTAAAGTCGAGTGAGTTTCTCTTGAAGTGCCAGCTTATCTCTATGTTTGTGAACTCTCCAAATATTTATATAAATAGTGGACAGTAATATTTTAGGAGGAACCTGTCGAAGCAAGTTGTAAACTAAAAGGAGCAAAAGCACTAGCACTAAAATTTGGGTGACCTCACCAGGATATCCTGTGATCTGGGTAAATGAAAAGTTTACTCTAACCCTAAACAGCGGATTATTGGAGTGGTACTCAGTCAGTTACAGAGTAGTACCAGGCACATATATGCACCGGTCCAAGTTGCCACACCTCATTAGCACAACAAGATGAGCACCAAATTCATAGTAGTTACTTCAATGGTAGTAATATATAAAAGATTGCATATAATGATATAACAGGATCGTAGAAAGAAAGGTATGAAGTAACTTTAATCTCACTGTTTAAGGGAAGACAAAGAGTGCACACACCTACGCCATTGTGATCAGTTATGAGCCATATCACCCAGAGTCTCCAACCATTCGTTACGATAGTCACGTGGACTCCAACCAAGTAGTCTGCATCTATTAACATGGATAAGACCAGAAGTTAGTGACTTCAAGGACTGGTGCCACATTTTAGTTTGGCCGCCCCTACTTTTCTTCCAACCGTCTCCAACACTAGTCAGCATTACGCGACGTCATAATCGGTGTTTAGGAATACGTAACACGTGGCCCGACCATCTCAGCGATGAAATTTTATAATCTCACCAGCCGATTTACCATAATTCCCTAATACCATGAGTCTAACCTCATTACTGTTTACCTGGTGATCCCAGCAGATGTG